ATTAGCCACCAGTTCCCGGAAAGCATCTACAAAGCATCTAGGAAAGAAAGGAATAGTCATAGTCAAGAGGCACAAATATGGTGTGGGGTGCCTCCTAATTGAAGGAGGAACTCTGGTCACCCCTCACATTTGATACATCAAGAAGTACTGCACTAGAAGATAGTTCTTTTTTTTTATATATAAATTTTTTATTGATTATCACTTTATTACATACTATTACATTTTGTACATCAACCTCTTTAACATGTTATTTTATTATTTTACTCTGACATTTCTCCCCCTTTTTCTCATTTTTTTTCCCCTTTTTTCACCACAGTGCTCCCCTCCACCCATTTCAAGCCACCCTTCTTACATTTCATCTGTCCAAAATTTCATTTCTTCTTGTGACGGTAATTTTCCTTCCTTATTTTTTAATCCATTTACCGCAAATCTTCCCCATACAGCATCAAAATCGCTTTGTTTCCATATACCTTTTTTAACCTTTAATATACATGTCAATTTATCGTTTATTGCTATTTTCCATGCTTCTTTATACCACTCCTCTATTTGTATATTCATTTCTTTTTTCCAATTCCTTGCTATAAGCAGTCTTGCTATAGTTAGTAAGTTTGTTATCGCTTCTTTATCCTCCTTTTTCAATTGCTTATCGTTATATAGTGATAGTAATGCTATACTAGGACTTTTATCTAATTTTATATTCATTATAGTTTCTATTTCTCTAAATACTTTCTCCCAAAAATTATTTACATATTTACATTGCCACCACATGTGTATATATGTTCCTGGTTCTTGACACCCTCTCCAACAATTTATTGAGTTATTTTTATTCATATTGCTATTCTTACCGGTGTCAAGTACCACTTCCATATTAACTTGTAATAATTTTCTTTAACTCGTATCGATAATTTTTTTAAATGTCTTTGTCCCCATAATTGTTGCCACTCTATTTCGCTTATTTTTATCCCTAAATCTTCTTCCCAAATCTCTTTAAGGGTGCACTTTTTTGTTTTTTCATCTTTCATTTCAATTAATATCTTATAAATTTTGCTAATTATACCTCTCAAGTTTTCGTGTTCTTCTACATTCCTTCCCTTCTGTATTATTTGTTCGAATTGACTGAGTTGGCTTTCACTTCTATTATTTTTTTTCCAATTTATTACCCATTGTTCTAATTGTATACAATGAAACCATGACAATTTTATTTCTTTAAACTCTTCCAACATCCTTTCCCTCTTCATTTCCACCTTCATCCAATCCCCTATCCTATCTAAATTTATTTCCCTTACCTTTTTATCCATTGCTTTTTTTAAATTTTTTGGGAACTTCTTTTCCATCACTATTGGGGTTATAATTGATCCCTCCTTTATTAACCTCCCCTTATATTTATTCCATACTTTAAGTATATTGCTCAGCATTGGGTTTCTAATTTCCCTCATTTCTTTTCTAGTAAACTGTTTAAAAAATATATTCCAAGTTTCATCTTCCACTTTTCCTGAATCATTACTAAGCCAATCTATTCCCTCTTCTTTGACCATTCCTTCTATAACCAAACTTAATCTACTTGCTTCGTAATATTTTTTTATATTAGGTAACGCCAGTCCACCCTCCTTTTGCGATCTATACCATAATTGTTTATTTAGTCTGTTCCTTTTACTTCCATTACAGTACTTATTAATCATTTGTTGCCATCTAGTTAGTTCTTCTTCTGTAATTTGAAGTGGTAGCATCCTAAATATGAAATTTATTTTTGGAAGTATTTTCATTTTTACTAATGCTATTCTTCCAAACCATGATAAGCGTATTCCTTCGTACTCTATTAACTTTTTCTGGACTTCTTTCCTTAATGTTACTACATTTACTTCCTCTATCTCTTTTAAATCCTTAGTTATTATTACTCCCAAGTATTTTAGTTTGTTCTTGATTCTTATTCCCCCTTTGCTCTGTTCTATAAGATCTTTTTCTTCTTCTCTTGTATAATTAAGTAGCATCATTTCTGACTTACTCCAATTAACTTGTAAGCCTGTTGCTTTCCCAAATATCTCCAAATGTTCTTTTATTCTATCCATTTTCTCCACTATATTTTCTATAAATAACAATGTATCGTCAGCGAATAAACTCACCTTCTGTTTCTCCTTTTTTCCTAACCCTTCTAGATTTTTGTCATTCCTTATGTTATTAGCAAACAGTTCTATCACCATGGCAAATAGTATCGGGGACAAAGGGCACCCTTGTCTGGTTCCTCTAGTCACTTTTATTTCGTTTGTCACTCCATCATTTATAGTTACCACTGCCGAGTTCCTTGAATAAAATTGTTTTAATACTCCTTTTATTCTATTTCCCATTCCGAATTTATTCAATATTTCCCTTAATGTCTCCCATTCCACACAATCAAACGCTTTAAAAATATCTAATGATAATATCCCTGCTTTTTCTTTCCCCTCTTTAGCCCAATGAATTTTATTTAGTACTCTCCCTATCAAATTTGACATTTGTCTTCCTTTTATAAAAGGGTTTACTAGAAGATAGTTCTCTAAGCATAATTTCTGTACCATTTCTGTGTAGCTTTATGGAGATGATAGAGAAAAAAGCCAGTCAACCTCTCTGATGTGAGAAACTTCACCTCAGAGAACCCAAAATAGGTAGGATGAACTTTTTAATTAAAACTCCAGTGTAACAGCCTTCAAGCTCTTTACATTGGACCTCGCTAGCCCTGTAACGAAAGCAAAATAAAATGTACCTTGCAGTCGAGGCAGCAGGCAGGAGCCGTGTTCAGTGAAAGTAATTTAATTAGTGTTGATCATGACTCCAGATTATGGTGATTTGATAAGGAATAATTTAGTACTTAACTGCCTTTTACATGCACCAACTCCATGTGGGAAAGTAAAGCAAATTGCACAAAATGAATGTGCTGTGTTTGCTTGTCCCTGTACCAGTGAGATGGAAAACTGGTTGATAGCAGCCACCTAGCTTGGTTCTCCCTACTTTGATACCCAAGCATATCTCCACACAAGGACTACAGTCATGTAACAGGCTCTGTTCTCACCATTGATTCACATTCAAAAAGTTTGTAATTCACCAATGGTATGGTGATGCTCAGGATGTCACAGCATCATCCTACCACTGCTCAGTTGGGAAATGAAGTGTGAAAAGTAGATACATTGGCTTTGGGTATGGTAAATCCCATCTTTCGGAGGGATGATGATAGAAGAATCATATACATACAGGATTCATCATTGTCAGAAGTGGTGTTTGGAGTGAAGTAACAAGTACATTATATGTATAGTGGAACCCACATAACCACAGGGGGAAGTGTTCTTGAATTTACTGCAGTGGCAGGAGACCATGGACAATAGAGTCCTATTGAAATGAACAACTTTTTCCAGACGCTTCCATAAAGTTGCCCTGGAGACCTAGGGCATTTCTAGAATCATATTTGCTCCCAATGGGATCATACAATAAACTCTCCTGAGTTACCTAAAAATATCTAGAGGGGACATATTTTGTCAGATACGGTGTACCTTAGCCTATGCTTACTTAATCAGAGGAGATTTGTCATTACTTTCATCTAAAACTGAGATAATGAGTTAACCAAGGGTTTCCATGGTTGAAATGGGATTTGAACCATGGTCTCATAGTGCAACATAAACAATCATACTCTGGTGATTGTCTCAGTTAAGCATGGCACTTCTAATATAATTTATTGCAACTAAAAACAATACAAATCGACCGTTGTTTGTTTCTTTGCTGATCAACTGGGATCTGAACCATGCTGCTATTTTAAATGATAAAAGCCCTAACAGTACAATCTTTGGTGTCTCCAAGCTACCAAACTCCATGATGCTCCTAACTAATCTCTCCCCTCCTTCTCTTTTTGGCATTGCATTATTCTTTTTGGCACTGCAGTATTACTACAGTGATTTAATTAATCATTCATTTAGTTAGATTCTCTGAATCAATGGGAAGTTACTTATTCCACCTTGAAAGCAAAACTGTAAATGGCTGTGTCCAGTTTGTTTGTTTTCATATGTAGACTTAAAATGAATGCTAGGTTTGCATATCATTTGCATGAATCCTGGGAAGTATTAAACCTGTTGTTGGACATATATTTTGGTGCACCTGTGCTTTCCTTCTGAATGTCCAGGGCCTGTAATACAAATTACTATGCAGGCATGTGGTTTTTGTTGTTGTTGTTTGGAGTGGGAAGAAGCGTTTCTGTAGAAGAGAATGCAGAGGGGTGGGGGTCTCATTTGTTTGTGCCCATTATCCTCTAACGTGGATGGACAAATCACAGAATCTTTGAAAGATAAACTGAATGGATTTGCCCATTAAGAGAGTTAGTGTGCCTTTGAATAAATAGATTTTTGTTCCTCTTTATTGCCATATTGCTAATCTTTAACATTTTATTGTCATTTTTTTTCACAAACCTGAAAATGTATATTCCTATTATATTCAAATGCCTGCATGCCACAGTGTGATGTTTTTTTGATGCCCAGTTTCTGCGTGAGGCTGAAATTGTGCTTGTCACTGTGCCATTGTACGTGATTGAACTCATGTTTAAATTCAGCACTTGGTCACAATATATGTAGTATAAAAGTGCTGGTGAGATGGTGCCTTGCTGACACCACATGTTGAGCTGTAGCAACCTAATTCTAAAAACAAAATGGACTGTAAATGCCATGGAGGCCAGCCATTTCATCCTTTCTCATGTTGTATATGAAATGCATCTGAATTATAGGGGTTGTTTCCGCAATTGAATAGGCTACCATGAAAAGTAGTCAACACTCCTTCATTATAAAATTATAGTATAAGTTGGTTATCCACATTTGAAGGATGTCTTAGCTGTGAATTCCTGCACTAGTGGGCAATTAATCTAAATGTTTTTTGAGATGTCTTTCAGCCCTACAGATTTATGATGCTATGAGTATGTTGCCCTCAATTGATTTTCTCATCTGGTTGCAATGCTTGAACTTACTGAGTTTCTCTTTTCTCTCTCTTTTCAGTGGCTTTTCATGGCCTCCCGCTGAAAATCAAGAAAGAACCCCACAGTCCATGTTCTGAACTCAGCTCAGCGTGCAGTCAAGAACAACCATTCAAATTCAGTTATGGGGAAAAGTGCCTGTACAATGTCAGGTAAAGTAGACAGCTTTTGCAAGAATGTTTTCACTGGAAACTATAGAGTTATAAAGTCATGGTAGTAAAAATCTATTGGAACCTACTACTGATAGACCTGGGGTAAATAATATGCAACAAAATGGAGTGTGGGTGTCCTGAGGTGGTTGGCCGGAGTGGAGGGGTTAGAATATGATATTGTAATCCTTCCCTGTTAAGGGAACTAAAGCAAGAAGAATAGAGTCTGGACAATAATTTTTATGTGCAATACTATAATACAGCCTCCATATCCATGGAGCGAGTACCCGCAGTTTCATTTAGCCATGACTCACAAAATGTGTCTTCTTTAGGTATTTTATAGGTCCTCCAACCTGATTCTTGATATGTTTCTGCTGGACATTGATCATAGAGATAGAATCATAGAGTTGGAAGAGCCCTCATGGGCCATCCAGTCCAACCCCCTGCCAAGAAGCAGGAAAATCATAATTCAAAGTACCCCCACAGATGGCCATCCAGCCTCAGTTTAAAGACTCCAAAGAAGAAGACTCCACCACACTCCAGGGCAGAGAGTTACACTGCTGAACAACTCTTATAGTTAGGAAGTTAATCCTAATGTTCAGGTGGAACCAAACTAAACCAAACCTAATGTTCAGGTGGAATCTCCTTTCCTGTAGTTTGAAGCTATAGTTCCATGTCTTCGGGCAGTAGAAAATAAGCATGCATCCTCCTCTCTGTGACTTCCCCTTACATATCTCTACATGGCCATCATGTCAGGAGCCCCAATGGCACAGCGGGTTAAACCTCTGAGCTGCTGAACTTGCTGATTGAAAGCTTGGTGGTTCAAATCCAGGGAGTGGGGTGAGCTCCCACTGTTAGGGCCAGCTTCTACCAACCTAGTAGTTTGAAAGCAGTGGGAAGGTAATGTCGCTTCATGCAGTCATGCTGGCCACATGACCTTGAAGCTGTCTAGGGATACCGCTGGCTCTTCGACTTAGAAATTGAGATGAGAACCACTCCACAGAGTTGGACACAACTAGACTTAATGTCAAGGGGAAACTATAATAACTCCTTAAGGCCGTCTGGGCAAGGGGGTCAAGCAATCCCACCGTTGCCCCACCAATTATAATAACCAGGCAGATGGCAATACGATCAATCCCACCACCTGCCCCAAATTATAATGACTCCTTTATGGCTAAACAATAACTCTGGACAGGGGCAAACAATCCCACCAACTGTCCCTCCTTTAATAAGGAATTCACACCGCTTTGGCACTTAGATAACACTTGAGGGGATGTCTCTTTATTTAAACATTCGCTGCCACCATAAGAATAAATGAACAGGAACCCTCTAGCTATTTAAGATGTTAAAAAGGTTGTTTAAAACACCACCAAGTACTGTCTATTAAAAGGGCTTCTTTGGAAGGAAACAGGTTGAGGTTGAATAAAAAGAAAAGGGACTAAATCCACAAATGGCACTTGACCCAGGCTTAAGTTTCAAAAATAACAAGAAAGGTTTATTGAATAAAAGTTACAGAATAAAGCGAATGCAGTTGAATAGGCTTGGCTGTTACAATTAAAGTGTTCTTGTTCTTAAAAGTGTAACGGTTGCATGAGAGAATGGTTCTATCTTGGTTACAGTTCCTATACACAACCCAGCTATTTCTTCTCTAAAATAGCTGTAACCAGTCTGCCACAGCCTACTTTGCTGTGCAAACTACAGGCAAACTGCCTAGTCTAATCACGAACTCCTAGTAGCTTCTCTAACCCTGCTCTATCTCTAACATCAACCAGAACTGAACTGAACTGACTAAAAGCAGCTTCTCTCTTTCCCTCCAACTGTCTAACTCCACCCCCTTTTACAAACCAATCCTGGCTGTTGCAGGGCTGGCTCAGGCCCAGGCCACTCCCCCTCTCTGAACTGGAGCTTTCCCTAAACTAAGATGGCTCCTGCAGCTCTCTGCCAGGCCTTCTAAGCTGAAACTACCTAGCCTGTCTCTTCCTGGGCCCTGCCACCCTGGCTGGCAAGGTAAGGGATCTTCACATTCCCTCCCCACCTCAAGATGGTTTGCGGAGTGAAAAGGTTTGCAGACCTTTTCCGAAGCAAAGCCTAACAATATCCTAGGCCTAACTAACCCCTCTAACTAATTCTGTGTAGCAAATCTATCTATCTATATACATACCCACATTTGCAATAAACACCTTTTGCAATAAAACATTTATGCAATAAATACATTTTGCAATCAATATATACCATAAACACATTCCTGTAGGGAAAAAACTGGTCAAATACAGTACAACAATGCAT